TGTACAAACTGCCTGTCCCTGTGGTCAAGTAAATAAGGATACAAGTTTTTACTAACTGGCAAAATGGGGTAGTCCCGAGCTGCTAATATCAATAATAATGAGCCGAGAATTGAAATTTTATTCCAAATAACGTGTTAAAATGTTTTTTAGGGCAAATATATCATCAATCGGGACAGGCACTTTTATTCTTGAATTTCCAATGGACAAGTAATTAATTTCCATTCATTAATAGTTGCTAACAAACCATGCATAAATGTATACAGGTAAAAGGATATGAAGATTATATATATATATAGGACACATTATTTGGGTCACTCTTGAGTTAACTATAAAACAAGACGGCATGCCATTTTAACAACATCAAAATAGAATAAAAATTTATCTACTCTATATTTTATCACAACAACATATTAAGCTATTGGCTTGATGAATATTTAAAAATAAATCTGAATATGTAGTGTTTATTTCATACTAGGTCACAGCTTTGCAAATCCCTTTGAGGTACCTTCTGTTATTGCCTACAACATGAATTATTCAATGGGTAATTAATATGCAAAACGAGATCCACATGCTCACCCAGTATTGTCTGCGGACACAATGCTTAGGAATGGCTATTCAGTAAAAAAAATTCTTTAAAGTCGAAACATGAAAATACAAATATTTTACCAGCACTAAATTGACAACATGTCATTTTTAACAGAGTTGGCAAGGTCATTTGAGAGATTTGCAGATTTATAATGTAGGAGTGTAAACAGGAGTGCCCTCGATCAAACACAATGGAGTCTTCTGTTGAAAGTCACTGCAGCATGAAACACTACTTTTAAAAATAAATCAAAAAGCCTGAGTTTGTTTATTATACTACAGGTAAAACCAGTAATGAGAGAATGTATCTGTGAGAGGTTTTCCTCATCCAACGAAATAGTTTTAACTGTCATTGCATGGCTTCCCTCCATGCTCCTGTCCTCCATTTTCCTTCTATAACCTGACAAAGAAACCCGGACAAAAAGAGGCCAATGCTGACAAAACATGCTCACATTTGACCGAAATTAACACACATTTAGAAACAGTAAAATTCATTCGCAATAGTGTAGTATTTTCAGTAGTTTTGGTATTTGTTGTTGTATTTAAATTTCAATATTAACATATGCAGTAATGAGTATTAACATGCAAAGCAAAGCACCACTCATTGGCAGGAGCCGCAATCATTTTCATATCAATATAAATATCAAAGTACGAACTTTACAAACGTCACAATCACAACACTCGTAAGATTACGGTTTAAAATGACCATGCGGTTGGTCAAACCGGTTCGTTTTGCGCCGGTGACATCATGCCAATGAGCGAAGCAAATGCCTGCAAGCAAGTTAACCGGTCCGTGGAAAATCGCACGGCTTTTAGCACAGAGTACCACGCCTTGACAGTACCGAAAGAAGGGGATCCCTCCCGCAGAAATTCAAACTTTTGACAGTGGAAAAGGTAACCGTGTTGCAAACTTGCAACGAATTTCAAAAAGACACACGATATATTAAGTATGTAGTGCGATAAAAGGGATTTCTAAATACTCGGTCACTTGCGTGTGGCGCGGTCTTCTGGTGCACACAAAAAAACACGAACTGATCAGAACACAACACAACACACGCCAATCTAACAAACGTACTCTAACAAACAAATAATCGCTTAGAAAATAAAGCCAGAAATAAAATTTTCTGAGCAAAAATAGATAGCGGCTTAAATGGAAACAATCCCACGCTATCACAATCGGAAATAAATTATGCTAAAATAGTAAAAATGAATATGTAAGACGACATATACCTGTCTTTTCATCAATCTCCTTTGACGCTGAGTCCGCCATTTTGAATATTAAAATTCGCTCAACAGCTCGTTTAAATATGACTCGATATATGCCGAAGATTAATTTATGCCAATTTGAATCCAAGATAACAAGACATATAGTGACACTTCGATTTCTCCGATGTACAAAAACTATGTCTGGACAACAGCGTTTCTTCCTGGTAGATTGAGGTCAAAGCATAAAACCAGTGTCCGCGTACAGCCGAGTAGACGCGCATGGATATACGGGACGGAGCCGACAATTAATTATTCATTTTCCGAGTATTAATAAGAACATTTCCATTCCGGCGCGGCGCCTTTCATAGTGATCATTTGAATATACTGGCAATTGATACAATGAACTAAATAGATTACTTCAACGCTTATTTCCTCCATTAAACGTGTTTTTCCCACTGAAAACAGATAAAATGTGAATCCGAACGCTTTCCGAGAACTACCGAAGTAACCCGAATGACATTTTCGGAGAGTCGACGGAGTTCGCTGAAAGGAACTGGCTGGATGATGGCACAAACGAAAGGGAATGATTTGTTTTCAGTTTTCCGTCGTACTTCCCATCAAAATGAAATTCTTATTTAAATGAAACTACCTGGTGATGAACAAACAATAGAATTGTAAAGTGAGAACGGAAATACCGAGTTAGTTTGCTCGACGTAGTCAAAAACTGAAGCTGAAAAAAGTTCTCGCATGTTATTCTATCAATCACTCAATCGTTTATTTAGTACAATGAAATCAAAGAACGAACATTTTCGCTTCTTTTTTAAAAAGTCTTCATTAAAAATGTAGATGAATGTATTTATTTTCCGAAAACAGTGACACAAGTTTGTAATTAATTCCTAGTTCATAGTTCACCCTAGCAACTCTATTCTTCCCAGTTAAATCTTTGCGAACTGGAGATACAAGGGTACGTATACTGTAAAATGAATTATTTTCACTAAGTTTAAATTTCGCTGATTTACCATTTCAGGCATATTCATTGGGTTTTAAATTCACGGTTTTATCATTTACTAGTAGATGATGTGTTATATGCTAAATTTTACATGGGTTTTAATTTAGCGCATTTTCCAGTCAGCGAAATAAGCAAAATTAAAACCCAGTGAATAATTAACCCTTTTACAGTAGTTATTATTTGTATTATTGACATTCAAGTAAAAAATGATTTTCATGTATAATCTTTGTTTTAGATGCCGACCAACTTCGATGTAAAGTTTGTAAGCAAAGCATCGGAAATTTGACACAGTTCGCTTTCCTCCATAATTTTCGGGTTCCAAGCGAGATTTAAATCCACTGTATAGACAATCGTAATGAGTTTGTAATCCAGCCATGCCATTTTTCTTAAGCGAAAACGGTCCTTAATTCATAAACTAAACTAAACTAAACTAAACTAAACTAAACTAAAATAAAATAAACTTACTTATACGTATCAAATATGTATGGCAACAAAAATAATTGCATGTATTGGACAACCTTCAGATAAAAATTATCAGTGAATGGACAACACCATACACTTCGGTGCAAATATATGTCCACGTAGGTATGTATAAGTTTGTATACCTGCATGGAGCGGTGCCTACCATCTACTACCGTTATATCAGTGTTATTAAATTGAATTCCACAAATGAAAAATGTAGATTAAAAAATAAGAAACATAAAAGTCACAGTGATTTATTTTCTTCTATTTTTACACTTTCAGCAGAAAATGTTATTTGTTTTTACATTCAGATAGTAAAAACACAAATCTCTATGACAGTTTACCATATACTGTGCAATAGATCTATTGCAGGGTCGGTAGTACGTACGTTGTAAAATTTTTTTGGAATGTATGATATTTCAGTTTCTCGTGATTTGAAATTTATTATTTTTTTTTCTCAAAACTGGTTTAAAGTAAACTTATTCATTACTCTAAAACTATTTGTCGGTGCACATTTTTCTGGAATGTGGTTGTAGGTCAAGCGCGCTACGCAGGATATGCAGGTTAACTACTCTTTGACGTTAGCATATTTGGAAGCCATACTGTCTGTAAAGTAACCACTTTACAGACAGTATGGTTTCCAAATATGCCAACGTCTTACGGGTGTTGGGCAGGTTACGTAGTTTCGCACGTTTGGCACCACTCTGTCAGAAGATGGTCGTGTGGCGAGGCTCGTGAAATAACAGTGATATTTTATTAAGCCCATTAAGGATTTAACAAAATACATCTGTCAATTTTATCGATTTGGAAAAGTAGATTCGCAGTTCCGAGCAAGACGACACATTTCATCCATTTGTCCAAGAATGTTATGCGTGTTCCAAAAACAAAGGATGAAGTTGACTACTGCATGATGGGAACACAATAACTGGTACAATTTGGCATATCATGGGTTTTACATGTATATATATGTAAAGCAGATGGACAAATTTTGTATTCGAATAGTATGTCATTACAGTACAATATAAAAGTACAAATCAGCCCCCCCCAAAAAAACAGCACCATGAAAATAGACAGTTGTAATTTAATTAGCTCATCTATTTTGCGACCATGGCATTGAACGTGGTGCTATTTTACTATTTGGTCTATCGTCTTTTGAGGGCGCTATTGCACAATTTGTGACATTGATCTTCCAAGGATGCAGTTTCACGAGGTTCTTTAGGAAAAAATGTACATATACACGATGAACTCTAAAACACATTATTTGTGTTTCCACGAAATGTAAACACGCACTGACTGTCGATAGTGTAGTGAAAGTACGCAAGTAAATAAAACCGAATCACACAGTTAAGTAAACACTAAAGTGGATTATGGAGAACACATGGTTTCATATAGTGCGTGTTACCACAGAATGGAGGACACATGGTTTCATATAGTGCGTGTTACCACAGAATGGAAAAC